ATAAAGTTGCTTCACCTGCTTCTAGGGAGGTGAAGGTGAGATAAGCGAAATTTGCATTGGGGTTTTAGAGAGCAAGACTGTTTGTGAGCCCTTCCTTGTCCCTGTCATCTACGAGGCCCCTGCGTGCCCATCTTCATCCTGAAGCTTGTTCACAGTCCTCTGTCCCCCAGCTCTTGCCGTCTCCCTGGCTGGTTTCAGCATGATGCACTGGCCTCTCCTCCATCAGCCTTCTTACCATCTTAGTGTTCAACTTTTCCTGTCCAGCTACAGCCTCAACTATCACCCCATTCATAGCCACAATTCTGAATTTTCTTTCTACGAAACAAAGTTGGTCCTAGAATAAGAGAAGGAAAAATAAAGTTTTTATAGAAAGAGAATCCTTAACTGATACATTTTATTAGATGTCTAAGCTGCTATAGTAGTTAAGAACTGTGGTTAACTCGATATAATAACTGAAAACAACAATGGCTTAAACAAGGCATTTATTAAGTAACAGGAGCCTGCGGGCAGGCCGGGCTAGTGCTGGGAGAGGGAGTCACAGTCATCAGGGACCCAGGCCAGTTCTGTCTTTCAGATCCAGTACATATTCTTGTGCGTGACTTCCTCCTTGATGTCGCTCATGGTCCAAGACAGCGGCAGAGTTACTTTGGCTCTTGCCATCTTATCTGTAATCTCAGCACCAGGGCTAGGGAAAGGGTGGAGGACAAAAAGGCCCCTTTCCTGCTGACAAACACCTTTTTCTTACGTGACTTTCCTCAATCACCTTAAAACAGTTCTGTTTACATCTTATTAGCCAGACTAGCCACCTGGCCACATCCGTCTAGGATCTGTAGTCTTTTAGGTTGGGCCTGCTGCTGCCCAGATAAATTCAAGGTTGCTTGAATTAGCGTTGGTGATATAGCAGAGCTCCTGCTCTAGTGGATTTCCACGTTGTCAAAAGATACTTTATTGATCAGCAGCTGTGGCAGACATTGCCAGGTGCTGCACCAATGCTAATTGCCCTGCCTTGCAGATAGTAGCGGCTCAGGAAATAACGTGAAGGATTGGATGATCTGAATGATTTGAATTAATCATGTTTACTATTTATGACGTTACAGGTAAATATAAAATGCATACAGCGCTTGAATAATGGAACAGTTAGTTATTGGATATATAATAATGGAACAAGCTGCAGAGAAATGGCCAAACCTCAAGTGCCCCTATTTAGACTCAAAAGAAAATTCGTGTTCTTAAATTTTGATACTTTGTGTAGCCTTGCTACTTAAAGTGGTGGGAGCAGGCTAGAAATGCAGAATCTGAGGCCCCACTCCAAATCTGTTGAATTAGAAGCTACATTTTTTTTTCTGGTGTTGGCTGGTGCAGGGATGGAACCCTGGACTCGTTATCAGCACCACGCTCTAACCAACTGAGCTAACAGGCCAGCACAGAACCTACATTTCAAACAGCTTGCCAAGGTAATTTGTATGCATATTAAAGTTTTGAAAGCACTGCTTTAAAATTTTGTCCTGTACCCACATTAATCTATCACTTCTTTCCTGCCTCTTGATTTTACAGCTGGTTGAGATAATGATTTCAACCTGTAGGGGAATTTAAAAAAAAAAAAGGCCACGAGGTGCTGGTTCCAGTAGTTATCTGCTAAGAATAACTGAGGAGGGAAAGGACAAATTG